CATGCAAATTAGCTTGGTACTCTCTAGTCATTTACCACCTAATCAATGTGCTAGTTAACCACACACGCTCCATTAATCTATGATAATTCTCAAACTACCCTTCACCACCCTTGTTAGTCCAAGTTAGTGTGCGCTTAACCACACACGCTCCACTAACGACTTGGCAAGGTGCAAAGTGCAATTTCATGGAATAACACCATTTTCATATTTTTCCTAAAGTAACTAAGATTGGGAATTTATGAAAAACATTTTGGTTACTTTTATAATTACCATTATACTTTTTAATGAGAATTAATGTCCTATCTTACCCGTTCGGCTAACGGTAAGACTGACTGTCTTATACCCCCTTATAGATCAGCTTCGTGAATGAGGCCTACTAATGGTTAGACTGATTGTCTTATATATATATATATATATATATATATATATATATATATATATATATATATATATATATATAAGTATTTATCTTTTAATATTATAATGGTATAAGGGTTGAATTTTAGACTTTTAAAATTCTAGAGTTTATAATTTAATGTTTCATAATTAAGACTTCTCAAATTCCAAAACTTGAGCGCAAAATTTGAAACTCTTCAAAATCTTTTAGATCAAAATTTTAAACTAATAAAATAATCATATAATTTTATCTTTTACTAATTTGACCTAATTCAACTCATATAGCAAGACAATTCAAATCAAATAAAACAAATAATCAACTTATCATATTATCAAGTAATTATCTTAAATTTTTGACAATTATCTTTTAATTGGATAAGGATAATCACTACCATATCATAAAAATCGAGTTTTATGATACAAAACAGTTTGTGGTAATGATCCTAATCCAATTCTGGCCAAGAAACCCGAAAATCTACAAACAGATGATCCAACTCGTCGAGCCAAACACTAAACTCATCTAGTTGGCTCAACTCAGGATCAAATCGCCAAGTTCCTTCATCGTACTCGTCGAGTCCAACTATCAGAGGCAAAAAAAATGAAGTTTTTTCAGCTTTGAAAATAACACAATTGCATCAATATAACAGAAAACAGCCTAGGCTTTGATACCACTGATGGGTTTTGAGCACTATAACATCCCTATGGTCCTAATACAACCCTAATGCTTTGGATCTAAGTTTTCTCAAGTTATACATGCAATTTTATTTGATCAAAAGCATACACCCTAGCTAGCATGCAATTGGAGATATACAACATAAAAACTAGTTAGATGAATACCTCTTTGTTATAGCTTATAGTTCTTGGCCTTTCAAGAGCTAAGAAAGAAGAGGCTTGTGAGAGAGAGGTTAGGAAGCACAAAATCGGCTAGGGTTTCACCTTGGAATGCATTGGCCAATTTTAGGGAGGGTTAGGAGTTACTTTTATAGTATGAAATTCCTAGGGTTTCTTACATGTAAACCCTAATTCACCATGACTCTTCACATTTCATAGGCGCTTTGGACTAAACCTTCATGGACTCTCATATAGGCTTAGTCCATACCTAATTAACATGAATCATTAGACCAAACTACAAGTATTACTGATTTACCTAATCAGTCCCCGTAAATTTAATCAGTCTCTTTTGATCACTAAATTAATTCCAAATTAATTCTTGATCAATACTAATTAAATAATATGATTTATCAATTAATATATCACTTGTATAATATATTAATAAATCGCAAATAACCTCTTTCTCAATTATCCATCCTATCAAATTGCTCCAATGAAGACAACCCAAAAGACCATGCTACTATCAGGTCAAATACATACTAGTTATAGTTATGGGCTTAGACACCTAATCCAATAAACATCTCCAAGATCATCAATAAGAGTTTTGGCAAGTCCTTGAAGCAGAACATCATTTGAAGTGAAGTTGGGATTTTACACGTAGGGCTAGACCCTTTAGTGAAAAAGGTTGAGAAGGTACCTATGGTTTTCAAAATATGGAGTACAAGTTGGTAGATGAAACTGATAATGATAAATCCAACAAAGAAATACCCCCATCAACTGACGACGTACCTCAAACGCAAACCGAAAGAGTAATGATAAAAAAGGAGAAAGCATAATGGTCTACCTGGATAGTTGAAATTTCAGATGCCTTCCATCAAAAATTGGATAAAGAAAAGGATAAAAACATTCAGGACAAAGAAGAATTAAGAGCTTCCTAACTGATCTACACTCCTAATCATCTAATCATTGAACTAATAGATCAATGTGAAAGGACCCAAAAAGATGATGAGATTTTGGTTCTGGTTCTGATGCCTACTGTCATTGAAGCCTTCATCATAACTCTAACAACTCGAAAGATAATTGATCAATCCACTCATGGAGCTCTGATCAAAGACAAAGGAAAATTTATTGCCATGATGAAACATAAACACATGAGCCCAATGAAGTCGCTAAAACAGTCTGAGGGCATCACAACAGATGAAAAGGAGGATACAAATCTTGAACAAGCTAACCAAGATAGCCTATTTATTAACAAATCAGGGCGATCCCAAATCCTATTCTAGGAGTTTCCCATTGAAGTCATATAGCTCAGTTGTTTGATCAATAAATAGTGCCATACCAAACCTACAAGTTCCCTACATCAGATTTGGAACAAATTGATCTTCTGATCTCTCCCTATGCACTCTACTACTCAAGAATCCCAAGGCTAAATCTTAGTGCACCCATTAAAGATCAAACTATATTGGAAAGAACAAGATTTGAGTTCTTTCATGCAACTAATGCACTTCCGAGAAAAATAGTATGGTTAATAAAAATATTCACTATAATTGAAGACTACGAAAAGAAAGTGATCAATCGTCCATCTTACAAAGTTGATCTTCACACTTATCACATCATCTGACGAAACAACCCAAAAGTGATAATATTTGATGCTGACTTTATAGTGATGAATCCAACCGACATCCTAACCATTGCAAATCACTTTCTTCCAAAAAGAAGCAAGAGAAAACTCATAATGAGTGCCTCTTATGCCACCAACAATTTTTTGAAAGACTACATCATGGAATTTGGGAGAGTTTGTGTTTAGCTTCATCACCTATTCAAAATAGGCGTGCTGCCTCAATCTCCGAACACTGCTTTAGAAGGAATCGAAGACATGCCAAACGTACATTTATTGCAATACTGGATTGAATTTCGGAATTGGCTATTGAAGGTACATTTGTTTGCCTTTCAATATAATGAATAGTGATGAAGAAATGTCTAAGGTTACTTAGGGGGGATTGATAATGCATTGAAGTGACCAACCATCCAATGTGAAGCTCATATGAGATTATAGTGATCTGGTGTCACACCCCAGCCGACAATGAAAATGTCGGGCGGTACGAACAAGGGGAGATTGGGACGAGGCATACAAATATATAAAGAACATAACACAAAGGTTTATGGAAAAAAATTCTTTTATTTATTATAAATTATTATGGGATTATATTGTTTTAAGAAAAGACAAGCAATATTCCTAAACATGACTAAAGATGATAAACAAACGGTACTAAACTAGCAGGTTCCTTGCATGCTTTCTCCTTCTTGATACGACTATCCTCTTCCTCCTTGACATGCCTATCCTTCTCCTTGACATAACTATCCTCTACACTCATCTCCATGAGAATACTTGTATTTTTGAAATGTTAACATAATGTTTGGTGAGTGAACATGTTTTTAGAGTTTTTAGCTTTTAACTAATTGTATTAGTTTAAGAATCATTTTTCTTTTAGAAAAACCTTTCCTAAAGTATTCATCAACTCTAACTTACTATCTTTTTGGATATCTAACGATCCTATCTTATTATCTTATTAGGATACATTTATTAATCCTAATTTACTATCTTTGTAGGATATCTATTGATTCTAATGTATTTTATCTACCATTCTAAGGAGTCCCTAAAGTTAGTATGAACTCAAAGGTGATCTAATGTATTACCATGAACCCACATAATCGATGTAGTTTGACTAATAACTATGCTCTACCACGACGCTTCATCAGATGCCAAATAGTGAATAATAAGAAAGTTATCCTACCAGGATTGTAGATAGCAATCGCAGGTGGGGTTGTCAGACCATGTACAGATCTATACATATCTTTCTAGATCTCACAAGATTAATGATTATAGGTATCTGGGGATTTCCGAATTTAATAAAGGCCTTTGGATGAATTAACAACTCACTAATGCATTTGTAACATCTCGGTGTTGAGGTAATTTCAATTTTAGCCCTATATATGAATAAATATAGCATTTTAGTCCTTGAGTATAAGAAAGAGTGCAAAATGGAACATATTGGCATTTTGGTGGTTTTGGACAAAGGGGAATTATGCTGGGCGTACGTTGTGAGATTGCACAGCTCCTGCTCCAACTTCTGCATCTCTTTGCATGGACAGTATTCTCGAATCATGAGTTGCTTCAACTCATTCGAAGACATGAGTTTACTACATTAATGCCCATGGTCTTGGTGTAACAATTCCACTAGCTTAAATCTGTGTCTTCCAGGGTAGCCCTGTCAAAAATACCCGATACCCGAATTACCACCCCGGATATTTCGGGCATCGGGTAAATCGGGTCGGGTAAATCGGGTAAATTTTTTCGGGTAATCGGGGAACCCAATTTTTTTCGGGTCGGGTAAAGGATACATTTTTTGGGTTTCGGGTATACTCGAATTATTTTAAAATTTCCTTTTTTTTGTAGAGCTGGTACTATATAGCAGGTATTTGATCATGCTTAAATTACCTATCATTATTGTAAAACATGAATTTATTTATTATGATAATATGACACTAACAATATTAAAAGTTTTGTTTATATATCATCATGTTCTTTAAAACTTAACTGTTTTCTAGATTATAGTTTTTATTGCAACTAACAAACTCATTATCTTGACGAAACTTCAAAACATGGCAAAACTTATGGCTACAATTATCTTAAACATTTTAAACTTATAAATTAAGATCTTTAAGTATTTGTTTTTTTAACATCTTATTAGATTAGATTAAGTTGTTAAAATCTAGGCCACTATCTGAGCTAACTGATGTTGGAGGAAACCAATCATGACCTCTATAGTGGTCGTTCCTATCTCAGATACCAACAACCTTAACTCTATCTCTCTCACTCGCTGCTTGAGACTCTCAATCGCGATCTGCTGGTACTGTACTATAGAATGAATCTCCTCCAGATGATCATAGGCATGGAGAATCCTTATCTCGTCGTAATCTCTCCCCTGCTCTAATACCCTAACTCTACCAGCTAACATCTTGAATTCCCTCCTCAACGAGTCTTGATCATCCCACCTGATGTATGTGGTCTCCATGTCATGTAACACGCGAGACTAACACTGAGACCACTCGATTGGTGGGATCCTCTGGGATGGTATCGCGTCTTGGTGCCTGGGATGACTCTCCAATATTATAAAATCCAATTCTATATTCCTGGATCCACTCATCGACCTGGGGTGTCCACTTGTGGGTGAGGAAAGGTTTTTTGATGGATTCGGGGATGATGATGGCAATTCTGCCCTCTTGCGGGATGGGATATAAATGAATTTTCTGGGGGTAGTAATAATTCTGCATCCTGGGTATGAATACCATAAGAGCCTGCAGCACATCCTCAATCAGAAAGACTTAAAAATGAGGCAACGGCGATGGGTAGAGCTGCTCAGCGATTATGAGTGCGGGATTCACTACCATCCCGGCAAGGCCAATATGGTAGCAGATTCCCTTAGCCGAAAGGAAAGTTCAAGCCGTAAAGTAAGGACACTGACGATGACTATCCATTCCCATTTATCCAGGCAAATCCGAGACGCCCAGATAGAAGCCCTTAAACCCGAGAACAAATCAAATGAAGCCTTGAGGGGAATGGATAAGAAACTTGAGATAAGAAGTGATGGTGTCTACTGTTTCATGGACCGAATCTGGATCCCAAAGTTCGGGGGATTCAAAGAGATTGTCATGGAGGAAGCACACAAGACCAGATAATCTGTTCACCCAGGTTTGGATAAGATGTACCTAGATCTCAAGAAACAATACTAGTGGCCAAATATGAAAACCGAGATCGCTACGTTTGTCGGCAAGTGTCTGACTTGCGCCAAAGTGAAATTCGAGTACCAGAAACCCTCGGGTCTGCTACAGCAACCCGAGATACTCGAGTGGAAATGGGAGGTGATTACCATGGATTTCATCACCAAGTTACCCAAGTGTCCGAGTGGGTACGATACCATTTGGGTAATTGTCGATCGCTTGACAAAATTCTAGGCTTGGCAATGGAGCAGATTTTGACCCTGATCCGATCCAAACCCTTAACAATTATACGGGTTTGGAGCATAGTTTTTGATCCGTTTACCCGTTAACGACCCGTACCCGCTAACCCTTTTATTAAAAGGGTCGGGTATGAATCATTACCGATCTGCTCCGTTTATAACCCGCCCCATATAAATTTTAGAATTATACATTTATATTTTAGATTGCCTAAAGTTTACATTAAATTCCAATCGGAAGTCCAAAGAGAAAAGGCCAAAGAATAAATTTTTTTACATAGGACTCGAGGACTCTACTTCTAGACTTCCAGTCTTCTCCCAAGAGTCATGATTTCATTTCATTTATATTTCATCATGTGATCATCAATTTCATTTGTAAATGAATAAGGTCATTTATCAATCAGAAGAAAGTTTGTAATTTCTATTCTCTATCAATGCAATCGACGGTCAAAAACCAATCGGAAGTAACTAAAATAATGATTTTAATTCCAATAGAAAGTCTTCGAGTACGTAAAGTGTTTTCTAAATCAACACTTAGTTTTATATAATAAATGTGATTTTATGATTTAAGTAAAACATGTTTGATTATTCAAAAAACCTACGGGTTACGGGGCGGGTTTGGATATCTATTGATTCATTAGATAAGGGTATGGGTTTCATTATTCAAAACCCTGCGGGTTACGAAGCGGGTTTGGATCAGATTTTGAAATTTGTAAAAAGGGTTTGGATCAAGGTCGATTCGCTCCAAACCCACCCCATTTCCAGGTCTACAAAATCCTCACTTTTCATCCCGATTAAAGAATCGTTCAAGATGGAAAGACTCGTGCGGATCTACATCCAGGAGGTTGTTCGACTGCACGGTGTACCTGCGTCCATTATCTCTGATCGAGATAGCATGTTTACTTCCAGATTTTGGCAGTCTCTTCAGAAGTATCTTGGAACCAAACTAGACATGAGCATGGCTTATCATCCTCAGACCGACGGACTGAGTGAGAGAGCTATCCAAACCCTGGAAGACATGCTTAGAGCATGTGTCATCGATTTCGGCAAGTCGTGGGACACACATTTGCCTTTGATCGAGTTCTCGTATAACAACAGTTACCACACCAATATCAAGGCTGCTCCGTTCTAAGCCCTCTATGGTCGCAAGTGCAGATCCTCTCTGTACTGGGCCGAGGTAGGGGACACGCAGCTAGCCAAGAGTCGATTTCCCGACAGTGCTCTCACTGGTCCTGAAATCATCCGCGAAACCAATGAAAAGATCATACAAATCCGGGAACGATTGAAAGCTTCACGAGATTGCCAAAAGAGTTATGCTGATATACGGTGGAAACCTCTGGAGTTCCAGGTCGGAGACCGTGTCCTGTTGATGGTCTCGCCCTGGAAAGGCATGGTACGCTTTCGAAAGCGTGGGAAACTTAATCCGAGATACATTGGACCCTTCGAGATCCTCGCCAGGATCGGTCCGGTAGCCTATAAACTTCGATTACCTCACGAGCTTAGCAACATCCACCCCGTCTTTCACGTCTCGAACCTTAAAAAGTGTTTATCCGATGAAACCCTCGTGATTCCCCTAGAAGAGATCGAGATCAATGAAAACTTGAACTTCGTGGAAGAATCATTCGAAATCATGGATCGAGAGATCAAACGCATGAAACAAAGTCGCATCCCGATAGTGAAGGTTCGCTGGAATGCCAAGCGGGGACCGGAATTCACTTAGGAGCGTGAAGACTCGATGAAACAGAAGTATCCGCATCTCTTCCCAGATCCATGATTTGTATCTTAATTCTGAATTTCGGGACGAAATTCCCTCTAACGGGGGGGGATAATGTGTAACCCGAAGTCTGTTCCATCATTTGTAACCCTTTCCGTTAATAAAGTTGTCGTTTTTGAATTCATTTCCGTTTCCGTTATTTAATTTAAGTCATAAATTTGGGATTTACATTATGACTTAATGGGTGTCCAAACGTGTTTAGAACTCATATTAACACTTCATAGTTAGGGTTTATTTATTCACCGTAAAACCCCTAAAGCAAGACCCCATTCGATACTAACATGACCGGCACAACCCAATGCACAAAATGAAGCGCTACTCTCACCCGTAATCATTACTCCCAGTGCACTGCGTTCACTACTCTGACTGTGCACATACGTATACATGCATTATCTTTAAGGATTGGTACAAGCGGTGCCAATTCCAACAAGATACACCTCCTAAATCCCTCGTGTTGAAGTATCACCCTTCACCCTATTACAATACAAATAAAAAAGGTTATTGGAGTTTTACAATTCCAAATATGACAAATCCATAACCCAAACACATAAATCAACTAACAAGCAAAATTCCTAGTTTAGGACCCAAAACAACCACCTGTTTACAGCTGTTTTATCACAATTGGGACCTGTATAACTTCTGTTTTTATTTTATATTCCAGAATTTCAGATTGGTAGCTTTTCATTAAGTACTTTTGAAGGTCCAAAATTTTTTTCTACAATTTTATATGATTTTTACAAAACTGCCTATCAATGCAGCTAAATTCTGACCAGCGGGTGAAAAAGACAATTTTCACCTAAGTTAGAGGAAACAACAGGTCCTCGAAAAATTCATGGATTAACCAGACTCAAAATTAAAACTTTGAGAATTTACGGATCTTTAATCCGACTCCTGGTGATATTTTTATAATTTTTCCAATACAGGGACTAATTGGTAATATTTGCTTAATTTTCGAACTTTGGATTTCAAGGACTTTTTTGACCACTTAACCCATTAAGTCATCACTAAGAACACCCATAAAGATAAAAACTAACTTCTTAACAGAAGTAACATATCAAACAATAAAAAATCAATTCCAATCACAACCCACTCATCAAGGTACATATCATTTGGTGGAAAGGAAAGTAGGTTGCACATACAGGAATGTGGATTTCTTCCACCGCCAAGTCTCACAGAAGGACTTTGAGTGATTGTTTTGAGGCTTATTGGGTTACTCAAAATATGATTTTATCACAAAAAATATTCAATTGATTCATGGTGGAAATTAACAAAAGTTTTAGAAATCAACAACAAAGATTGTGACTCCAAAACTTTGATCAAAATATGAACTTGAACAATAAACTTATTGAAGGTGTTCATAAGAAATTTTGATAGCAATTGAGTTGTCACACCCCGGCCGTCAGCAGAAACACCGGGCAGTGTAACGTCATTTCTTGTATCATAGTTATCAAATTCCTGAAAACACATGCATTTAAAATACGTCAACATAAAGTTGGTGAGTTCAAAGGTTTTTACTTCATATAAAATAACACTTTTTCTCAAGCTCAAAAAGTATACTTTTGAAAGTATCATTTTGACTCTCAAACATTTAGTATATATATCCTAGGTATAATGGTTTACTTACCAAATAAGTGTTATACCTAAAAGTTCTTTGAACCTAAGGTATAAGTATAAATGTTTGTAATTCCATACAAACTAAGTTGCTACGTATAAATCTTATTTCAATTCTATACGAGTAAAACCGCTACGTATAAATCTATTTCAATTCTATATGAGTAAGTAGGTTAGGTATAGTGGTCTACTTTATATACAAGTAATATACATACTATATTCTTATACTTAGTATATAAGTCTTTGGGAAACTTATACTTAACATTCATACTTGTATATCGACAAAGTATAATGCTTCAAAAGTTATGCTACCATGAGTCTATAGCTACGACTGTATGACTTAGTTTTATACTTCTTGTTATTATTACAAGGATTACATCATGCGGTAGTACAAGGATCACACCTTGCGGTAGTACAAGGATCACACCTTGCGGTAGTTTCCGCACGCTTCATCGACGTCGGAAGGTAGTAAATTGGGCAAGTTCATCACTCGAATACCGTTGGGTTGAACCTAGAAACCACGAGTGGGGTTGTCACGCTCACACGGAGTTAAAAAATATAGGTCAGAGGACTTTCACTAAGATCCCCAATTTTAGATGATGAATACAATAGCTCATGTAGACTTTGATGGCGTTCTATAGTTCTAACAACAAAATCATTTTCGTGTCTAAAA